AAATTAACTAGGACAAGGCTTCTTCATTTCAGCAACACTGACCTTTTGAAAGAGCAGTTCTTGATGTGGAGAATGACTGTATTGTAGGAGGTTAGCAATGTCTCTGGCCTGTCCCCTCCAGTTACTATGGCCACTGCCACCCTGCTCCTTGCTGCTGGGTCTGTCAAGCAAGTCAGTCTGCAGATACCGAAGCACCCCCTGGTGAGGCAGTAGGGTGATTTTCCTTACTGAAAACCATCACTTGGGAGGAAGTGATAGCAACCTAGAAAGGCTAAGATTTACCTGTCTCTAATTTAATTGTATATAAAAAAAAGTTTGTCAAGTACGTTCTTATAAGATAGGAACAGTTTGTCTATTAATACTCAGTACAGAGCCATCAAAGATGGCAACAAAGCAGGTCTCCTGGTTGACTAAACTGTAGACTGTGTTCCAGGATAAAGGAACTTACTGTGGTTGGAATTGTGTGAACAAGGCGCATCACAGGAACTCTTTGGGCTCTGATCACTTTCTTCCCATGTTGTTTCACGTCAGCTATTTTTCCCTCCCATTCTCCCACAGTTGGAATTATTCCATGGCTGAGACTTTGCCAGCATCTCCCCTATAATTCTTGTTAGTTAATTTCCCCTCCTTCTCCATTTGTATGTAATCCTTCAAAATACAATAACATCAGGCTGTAATGCATGATGGTAATTGATGTCCCATGCGTACAAAATCAAGTTGATTTAAGATTCTACATTCCCAAGTATTTAAAAAAAATGTAAAAATAAATAAACACTACATGGTATGAAAACCGTAGAAATAAATCTCTGAGTTTGGAAGTTACTTACATGTTATCATCTTTTAGCGCTCATTTTCCTAGATATTTTCCTAGATAATTTTAAAATTATTCTCAAAGCCTTATATTTGTTGTAGATAAGCACACTGACTTATTGACTTTCTGATCAAAAGGAATGTTGAAGGCATTTGTTGGTTTTCTTTTTTCTGTTACGTTAACCTCCTATTGTTTGTGTTATGTCTTCTAAAATGTCCTTTCCTAAGTATGCAACGTCATTTAAAGTTAGACTCCTGGGCATAAGAGGAAGGTCCCCACAAGTTGTCAACAGTTACAGAATCAATAGCAAGACATGCAGAGTATAACCTCAGATCCTTCAGCAAGGGAGGGTTTTCTTCTCCTTTTTGTTGAAATGAATCTGTTCCCCTCGATTTTATACTTGCTTCTTCAAGTGTTACAACATAAGCTTGTAATAAAAGGGACAGCGTATCTTCTCAGGAAGGTCGTCATTTTATGATGTCCTAATGGTTCTCAATCTCAAGAATTCAAGTTTATGGAATACAACTTTATTAAACAGGAATTATGATAATGAGTTACAAATTGTATGTTTACTCTCTCCAATGCCCCTCACAAAATCAAAAAGACAGACTCTTGCCTAAAATCTCAGCCTTGTTCCAACTTGCTTACTAGACAAGTCCCTTTTATTCCCACAAAAAAAATGTTACTTTTTCTCAGACGTTTTGGCAGGTTCTAGGGCCCTCAAGAGCAATTAGAGGCTCCTTTCCCTCATAGTTCACAGTCAAGACGACCTGATTTTAAAAGTAGAATTAAAAAATACTCTGGACTGGCATAGTAGAAGCAAATGGGAGAAAGGATTACACTTTTGGACCTCTGATCCCTCTCTTGGAAAGTAAGGACATTATAACGTTTACCTTATCATTCCCAGAGCAAGGTGAAAGATATATATATATATATATATATATATATATATATATATATATACACACACACACACACACACACCAATATGCACACTGTATCTCACAGAACACAAATCAGTCAACATGGTGAACTATGAACTATTACGCACTAAAGTTCACTCTACCTTTGATACCTTTGAGTTTTTTTTATTATTGTTTCATTTTCTGGCTGTTTGTTCTCTTTATTTTTATTTTTTTGATCCATGCTATAAGATTGATAATTTGGGGGATGTTTCTAAAAGGAAAGCACAGAAAACTTGAAATGTCTGTCCATAAGAGAATAATTTGAGAATATTTTGTAGTAAAGGCATGTAACCTAATTGATAGTAAATATGGGTGTATGGTTTTTTTCAGCAATTAAAGTGTAAGTGTAAAAACCCAGTCTCATTTAGTCTAAAATGCAGGTTACAGGACAGATGTTACATGACTCTACTTTTGTAAAATTGTTTGACTATGCCTCTATGTGTATATATGTTACTCCCAGGAACTTCGTCCTAATATTGCGCTAGCATAACTTGCAGACAGGACACTATTATAGGCAGGACACCAAAGGCTTAAAGCTGGATTTTACATTTCTACTTTGGTAGCTTGCAGAGTACTGTCCAGTAACAAAGACACTGGAACATAGGTGTGAAGGCTCTATGTGAGCACCCACTCAACTTATCCATGTCCAGTAAGTTGTGTAGGTTATGTCTTCATAAGCAATAGGACCTTACATTTAGTTTGTGGAGAATAGGGCCTGGTTGTTTGGGGATGTCCATGGGAACGTTTTGGCTAACAACTCATTTGGATGTAACCCATTGCAAGTACTGGAAGCTTCATTTGGTGATAAGAGATGTCCATTTGGAAGCTGGGTGGTGGTGGCGCACGCCTTTAATCCCAGCACTCAGGAGGCAGAGGCAGTCAGATCTCTGTGAGTTCCAGGCCCTACCTGGTCTACAGATCAAGTTCCAGGACAGGCTCCAAAGCTACACAGAGAAAGCCTGTCCCCCCAAAAATAAAAAACAAAACAAAAAAAACAAACAAAAGAGATGTCCATGTGGGGCTCTGTCTCCCCACTTATTTGGCAATTTCATTTAGGTCACCTTCATATATGTATATATTTTAGGAAGGCTCTACTGTATTAGATTTCTATACTACTCCTCAAATGGTCCTTAATTTTAGCTGTCTCTTCCATATTCTATTCCTTGCTGCCTTTTCCATCCATCCGTAACTATCCTATTTCCCCTTCCTAGGGAGATCTATCTGCCCCATCCCGACCTAATCACTCACTTTATACCTAACCTCTGTGGTTCTAAGAGTGTAGTTTGGTTATCATTGACTTAACAGCTAATATCCACAGATAAACAAATGCATACCATATTTGTCTTGGCTCTGGGTTACCAATTTTGTAAAATAAATTGGATTATTGTCATTAACTATTCATTGGAAGTGTGGTAGAATTATGCACTAAAACCATCTGGCCATGTGGGGTTTTTGTTTGTTGTTTGTTTTGCAGAGGTCTTTTAATCACTGATTGTATTTCAGTAGGGGTTATAGGTCTGCTTAAATTGCTTATCTGATCTTTATTTAACTTTGATAAGTGGTGGATGTATCTAGAAAACTATCCATCTCTTTTAGATTTTTCAAAATTAGTGGAGTACAGATTTTTAAAGTTTGTTCTTCTGATTCTCTAGATTTCCTCAATGTCTGTTGTTATGTCCTCCTTTTCATTTCTGGTTTTCTTCATTTTCATAGTCTGTCTGTCTGTCTGTCTGTCTGTCTGTCTGTCTGTCTATCTGTCTGTCTGTCTATCTGTCACATGCCCCCCCCCCTTCTTTTTGTTAATTTGGATTAGGCTTTGTCAATCTTACTGAGTTTTTCCAAGATCAACTCTTTCTTTTGTTGATTTTTTTTTTCTATTTTATTGATTTTAGCTAAGTTTAGCTAAGTGTAATTATTTCTTGTGGTCTATTCTGTTTGGGTGTGATTTCTTCTTTTTGCTCCAAAGCTTTTCAATATGCTATTGATTTTACTAGTATGAGATTTCTCCAACTTTTTTATGTAGGCACTCAGTGCTACAAACTTGTCTCTTAGGACAACTTTTATCATGTCCCGTAAGTTTTGGTACCTTGGATACTTATTATACAATGCTAGAAAGTCTTCAATTTCTGCTTCAATCCATTTTCCATTCAGTAGTGAGTTATTCAGTTTCCATGAGTTTGTAAGCCCTCTGTTGTTGCTGTTGTTATTGATATCTAGGTTGAATCTGTGGTGGTCTGATAGAATGCAGGTTGTTATTTCAGTTGATTTGTATCTCTTAAGACTTGCTTTCTGACTCGGGATATGGTCAATTTTGGAGAAAGCTCCATGTGGTGCTAAGAAGAAGGTATTTTCTTTTGTGTTTGGGGGAAATAATCTGTAGGCATCTGTTAGGTCCATTTGGTTTATGACATCAGTTAGCTCCAGAGTTTCTGTTTAGTTGTATCCTGATGTCTCCTGAAATAGGAGAAGTGTTTTCCACTGGAAATGGTGCCAAGGAGGGAAGGGAGGCTGCAGCAGGTAGCCTGCCACAGAGCTGGGGATGAGAATGATTGATTCCATTTAGAGGAGTGGAAGGAGAGGGGATTTTCACTCCTTTGTTGTGACTTTCGTGGTGGTTTAGGGGAAGAGCATTATACTTGGTGTCCCTTAAGTTTCCACAAAACTACATGGGAGGGCAAAACTCTGTTATCAAACATAAGATGTTAGTTTGCATTTAACAAGTAAGATATTTTTCTTCAAAGCAATTCTACCAAACTATCTAGAGACCTTTTTTCTATGCTTAATAATACTAGAATATGAATATTTATATCACTTGTAGCTGATACATACAATTTATATACTGATTATATTCCTATGGTTCTTGAAAATTAGCCCCTTTTCAACTTGTTAACCCTTTTTTATTTAATTTTGTGGTTTACAACAAATTAAAAATATGAAAGACTATCTGATTTGAAATATAAATTAACACTTAGACCGAGTAGTGAAACTTTGCCAGATGTATAGGTAAACAAAGTCTTTTCTTTTTTCATATTGTATATGTGGAATTAAGTTTGTTTGAGGATACTGCTAATAAATATAGCAAATTATATACACCAACGGTTTTGCTTAATAATGCTTTGATTTGTTTAGCTAGAAAGTCTCCTTTATTCAGGAGGATCTCAACTCTTTTTACCAGTTAAAGACATTTCAGTAATACCCATGTCAATCTTTTTGGTTTTTTGAAGATACGAGGAGGAAAGCTCATGATCACTTATACCCGAAAGAGTGATGCTGGCAAGTACGTTTGTGTTGGTACCAACATGGTGGGGGAACGCGAAAGTGAAGTTGCAGAGCTAACTGTTTTAGGTAAGTGCATTTTTATTTAATTTCATCTAATTCCAGTAGAAAGTACTCATCATTATCATTTTGTATCTTTATAAAAAGGGGGAAATCAACTTTAATTAAGGTATATGCATAACCTTTTACGTAAGGGAGAAAGAAAGACCTGCAGTCTAATATTTGGAGGAAACAGAAGGTGTGAGATGGAACAGCAAAGCAGCTTGAGATAAAATAGTCAAGATATGAGATTAGCATAAATAGGAAACACAGCGAGAGGTCTACAGAAGTGGGCAGCTGCGTGGAATAAATGGAAATCTGTCCTTACTGCACATCCTAAAGGGTTTTCGATTCATTCATCTTCTAGAGAGACCATCATTTGTGAAGAGACCCAGTAATTTGGCAGTAACTGTGGATGACAGTGCAGAATTTAAATGTGAGGCCCGAGGAGACCCCGTGCCTACAGTTCGATGGAGGAAAGATGATGGAGAGCTGCCCAAATCCAGGTATGTATGGGGGCGCTGGTTAACAATATGATACACCAGTTTGGAATGTCTCTTTGGAACCAGGCCACGCACGTACTTTTAGTCCTCTCTTCTGATAGCATCACTTTCAGTTTTTATGAAACCGTTGAACAACCCATACTTCAAATTATAATCATTTCCAGGGCTAGTGAGTGATAAGAGATGTTATGTCCTCAATCCAGGACTGCAGCTGCGAGCCCCAGTTCCCATGACCAGAGGAGAAAACAAACAATCAAACAACAACAGCAGCAACAAAAGCAGAACTTTGTAGTAAATACTGTGTTGCCAAGCTAGGATATAGGAAATTAAGTATATGAAATGACTCTTGGATTCATGATATCATTGATTTACAATACATTTACCATGATGTATTTGTATCACAAGAATGTCTATAGTCTGTGGCCAGCGTCAGGATGGGTCCCTGGAGATCATTAGACACCAGAGGCTACGACTGTCTTGTCTCCGAAGCCTTCAGAAGCATGCAACTGTGACCTGTAGCTTGTATTTACAGTGTTTCTTCAACAGATGTCTCTTCTGCTCAGCCAAAATTAATACCAACTTTTTGCAAAGGAGTATATGGGAAAGGAAAATGGACACAGCATTAAACATGTAACTGAAAAATTGGACTTCCTTTTTATTAACTGCAGTATAACCTGGAAAGGCTAGACGTCAGGATTTCTTGATGTCTGCCGAATCCTTAAATAGGAGAGGAACAGAGAGCTAAGAATTAGGGAGCACTGATGATGAGACAGTGATATAGAATATTCTGGTACTGTCACCAGACCATTGTCTCTTAGGCATTCACTCAGTCAGCAGTGTGTGAAGGGTCCTGGCTAAGTGTCAGCATTGTAGCTTTAGGATGGACAGTCTATGCTTAAGAACCTTAAAACAGAATGCAGGCACAAGTAGATAACTAACAATATTATCTAACTCTTTTGTCACATAGGTAGAAAAACTTCTTAAAGGAAAATAAAACTTATGCAAGGGCTTACATAGATAGATAGATAGATAGATAGATAGATAGATAGATAGATAGATAGATATAGATATGGATATAGATATGGATATAGATATATGCATGTACACACACACACACACACACACACACACACACACACACACACACACGTATGTAAATGAAAGGAGAATGAGGTAGTGCAGCAGATATGGACCATTGCAGCATAGACACACAGATGTGGTGGGAAAGTTGGTAAGCAATTATGTGATGTCAGACTGGGGACACTGAGACCAAATGATGAGGGGATTCATGCAGTGAAGAGTTTCAGCTCACATTGCATGACATTGCTAAGCCACAAAGGGTTAGGGTAGACAGGCTTAATATTCAGGAATAAACTAGAACAGTGGATGTTACTCTGTTGTGGATAGAGGCTCCATTATTGCCATGGTTTTAACAGAAGAGAGGTACGTTTTGCTTTTGATCTAGCAGATAAATCAAGCTAAGCCTCCTGAGTGGAGAAAGATTGCAAGCCACCTGATATATTGGATGGCGTGTCTGGTTTCAGTTTCAATGTTGTCACTAAGCATTTGAGGAGCAAGGCCAAGTGGCCTCATCTTCTAAAGCCTCTGTTTTCCCATCCACAAAATAGGATCTGCTGGATCATAACCTTCTTGCTAGAATTTAAAAAGGTTAAAATGTATAAAACCTTTATATTTGGGATTTAGTCAATTGTTCCATGCCATCTCATTTTAATGTGAGCACAGTAGCTTGAGGAAATCCATGAATAAAATTGTTCTTTTAGAACATGAATTGATTTTTAGGAATACCATGTTTTACACTGTTTCTAATTGTTTTGAGGGATTGCTGCATGTGACTTGATACCTAGGTATAGATGCATGGCAGCAATGGTGTGATTTCCCAAGAAGAGAACCACATAACTTTGCTTGATTTTTATTCCATCATCAGATATGAAATTCGAGATGATCATACTTTGAAGATTCGGAAGGTGATGGCTGGTGACATGGGATCATACACTTGTGTTGCCGAAAATATGGTTGGGAAAGCTGAAGCATCAGCTACTCTGACAGTTCAAGGTAGGCAATGATGGTGGTGTGTGTGTCTAGTTTTTTTTATCATGAGAAATACAATGCTCTGACAGTTCAAGGTAGGCAATGATGATGGCGTGTGTGTCTAGATTTTTTATCATGAGAAATACAATGTTGGTGTTTCAAGAATACACTATTTATTAGTTTTTATAGATACAGACCTTTGTGCTCTAAATATTTTATGTCAAATATCCAAACAGAACATTGTCTATATATTGTACAGTTGTTGGAAAAAATTGAATTAAAATTTCAGAATTATGGTGAATTGGATCTCAAAGGAGAGTATACTTTAATCTTTGTATCTATCTTGAAATATAGTGTCCTCCTAAGCTTTTAATTAAATGGTAGCTTTTTCCATGAAGTCTTTGTTGTAGAAAGAAAAGAAGTTTTACATTGCTTGCTTCGGGTCATGTTTCAGATCAGAGCTGTGTAAACAATACTACAATACCAGGTGAATTCCATAACCCCCAAGAACGTAGCGTTTGTTCACAGACTAGGGACTTTGCCATCTTCTATTCTCATAATACCTCGGAAAAAACAGGTAGTCCGAGTGTGGTAGGTGAATAAATTCCATTTCTCCTTGGGTGATATTGATGGAGATTTCTTATTGAGTCTATGAGCTAAAGTGAATAGGATATTCAATGGCAGAGACGCCTTGAAAATCATTTGTGTCTTACAAATGGTCCTCTGCTTGCCATTGTGTTCAGATTTCAGACATCTCCACTCTTCGTCATCCTTTTACTTCTGTCTCCATGATGTTTTAATGATTATTTCTCATTGTTTCTCACCTAAGAACTTTTTTTTTCTCCGAGTGAGAAAGTCTTTGTTGAGGAATTTGAGAGGCAATGACCTTTAAATGCATTTTATTGCTGTAAAGGATTTCCTATTTCGACAAGTATATATAGTAAACAGAGAACATGGCCATAAACCACTTAGGTTGTTTCTGGGGCTAACATTAGCAACACTCAGAGCTGTCATCTTTTCTGAATGTTGTCTCCTCTAAAGCTATTAAGAAGAAAAAGGTGGCTTTTGAGAGAGTTTCTCTACTGTGGATGTCCACAAAAGAGCCTTGTGGGCTTTTCACATTAAAAAAAATCAAAAAAGAAGGAAGACGATTTCCGTCCTGTCTCTAGAGCCTTTATGTCCCACTGTGGGGTGTTTAGCTCAACCTCATAAAAACAAAAGAAGAAAAAGAAGGTCAAGAACAAACATTGAATTTCTAAGGCCTCGGTTCCTTCTCCGTAATCTAAGTTAGGCTTGAACTTCTTACTCAGGCTAAAACTGTATGAAAAGAACACCACTTTACATTTAGAGAAGGCATAGGAAGTTCAAGAGATGTTAAATCCAAGTTCAAAAGCCCTCCAGAGGCAGTAAAAGTGGCCAGGATGAATACAAAGCATGAAAAGGCATGTGTATCTCCAGGCTGCTGTGAAGGGAAAGCTGTCTATCACAGTCAGTTAAATGTGTCTCACTTGATGCTGCAGACTCAACGCCTTCTACCCTGGTCGACTGATGCTAATATAAACAGCAGCCATTCTGGTCCCTGCATCGTGAGGCACTGAAATCAAAATGTGGTTTCTTCCTACGAGTTTAAACTCAGTGCCAAAGCTAGGTCAGCCTTAAGTTTTCCATATGGAATTCTTGCTCCCAAGCCTGAATTAATTTCAGTGGAAATTGATTACAAATGATCAGATCCAGAACCTGCTAGCTGAGTTTAGACAGTCTCATTTCAAATGCGTTTGGTTTCCTATGAAATAGTGAGGGATCTGTGAGTAGCCCAGACCGTATTACTTCATTCAGTAGTAAGTATGTACATCAGCATTACTGTTGAGTTGCTTTAATGTGATAGAACGATAATCAGTGTACTGTACAGCCCATCCACAGATAGCCAAGAAGCATTCAAAGGAAACCCCAGATGTTTGTTTTTTTTTTTCCTTTGTGAAGAATATAGAAAAATATTATTTACTTCAAAGGAACCTAATCCTTGTGGTAGCAGGAGGTAGTTACAATAAAGAATTTAACAGTATAAGGTTTGTTTGTTTGTTTGTTTGTTTGTTTCTATGTGGTTCCTTTCTAAAAGAGAGTAGTGACTGTCAGTTTGCATGTAAAAGTGATCTTCTTGCACATAGCCACCCTGTGTGTTATGTTTTTATTTAAAAAGAGGAAAAGAGAAAGCTGAGACACGAGACATGTTGACTAGTTTATTATACAGGCCCGGCAGAGTATGGAGACTAAGAGAGAAGAGGAGCAGGGGTAATGGCTGACCGCCATGGAGAGGCAGAGAGAGCGCCTAGGTGAGAGACCGAGTAGAGAGGAAACAGAGAAAGTAGAATAGGGAGAAGCAGAGAGAGAAGTTGGAGCTTTTAAAGGGAAAACTGCTATGCGCAGAGGTTCCACGCATGCCCAGAGTCATCATGGGTGACGGGTGACGTGGCAATGACATAGCACGTTTTCTTGCGCATGCCCTGAACATTGTCAGGGGGCAGGGTCTGTCTCTTAAAGAGGTAGAGCCGATCAAAGCCTGAACCTTTCACTGTGAGCATTTTATTCACAGAATTCAGGTAGGAAAATGGCATATTAAAATTATAGGTGAAGTCACCTTAAATAAGGGTGATGATTTGATTTTCACCTCCAATACAGGGAAAAGTAATTGCAGTATCTTAAAAAGAACCCTGGTTTGAGAAGTACTTCTGTTTTTCTGCTCTTCCTTTCTTGAAAGCTAAATTCTTTTTTTACTTCTTATTTTCGTTGTGTGGGGGTTTGAACCCAGTACCTCCCTTACCACTGAGTCACACCCCTATACCCAGTTCTCCCTGTTTTAGATGGTATCTGTAGAGATACTCTCACATATTCCTTACTTGAGCCCTCCCTCTCTCTTTCCCTCCCTCCCTCATTTCCTCCTTCCTTTTCTTCATTTGTGAGTGTATGTGTATGTATGTATGTTTGTGTTTATTGTATATTTTCATATAATGTATGTGTGGTGTGATGTGTGCATTGTATGTGTGTGTGTTGGATATGTGTTGTATCTGCACCTGTGTATGTTTGGTTTGTGTGTATGTGTATCTGTATGTGTGGTCTGTGTATTGTGAGTGCTAGTGGCATATATGTGGTTTGTGTGTCTGTGTCTGTTGTTGGGTGTGTTGTGTGTGGTGTTAGTGTGTGTGGTGTGTAGTTTGTGTGTGTGGTGTTTATGTATGGATGATGTGTGTGTGTGCATTTTTGCATGTGTTGTGTGTGTCTGGTGGGGGGGAGTGTCTGTGTGTGGGAATCTGCGTGTGTGTGTGTGTGTGTGTGTGTGTGTGTGTGTGTGTGTGTTCCATAATAAGCTGGTTATTATCTTTATGCTTTGTACTTACTAGGCAGTTGTTCTCCCACAGAACTAAATCCAGTCCCTGGTCCTTTCTTGGTTTTTCTACTGTGCTTTAATAAATACTTGTTGAAACTGAAATATGAATATGCATTTTAACCTCCACTTGAGTGGTAAAAACAGCAAGCATGCATGATGAGGAAAATGAAGGCAGTGCCTGGTGGCTTGATCCTAACTGCCAACAGTCAAAGGCATTGGAGAGACTCTGATGTGTGACTCATTCTGTCTGTGGTCTGTGTTTGGAGGCAAGAAAAGCCATAATCATTGTACTATTTTAATAACATCATGTTGAATATTTTTTGAAAATTTTAAATGTATAAAATAAAGCAGACTGAGAAAATAAATAGGAAAAATTGAGAACTAGACAGAAATCCTAATTGTAATTGTCTTGATATATATGCTCGACCCGATTTGGGAGCTCATCAGAGAAACACAGAAATTTGTCCATGTATTGTATTTCTACAAAGAAGTAAAAAAGAATAAGGAAATAGCATATGAGTTGAAGGAAATCATAAAGGGCTTGGGCAGGTTTTAGTACCATTCTCAACTTTTCAGACCCTGAGAATGTGTGTCACAAAAATAGTAGCTAAAGTTGTACTACAGCCATCACAGCTAGAGTGACACTTGTGATGAGCCTTTGTAGAGAGGACCCTGGGTGGATTACTGAAGATTAAGAACATTTGGGGACACAACTTCTTAATTTTCTGAGTATTCCTCAGAAGGTGCTTGACCTCACCCCAGATTCTGTGAACGGATCAAGTTAATTGCTTTACGCATTTTAATATTCTCAGCTCCTCCATCCATTGCTCTGTGATACTGGAATATTTCTGTTCAACTCAGAGGCTAATAAGATTATTCATGAATAAACAATCTCCAGAACTCCTTAATATTCATGGCCACTTCAGACATGGGTGGCCTGCTGAGCTCACTCTGTTTCAGAGCATGTCACTGCTCCGTGACAACCACCTAAAGTTTCTATGCAGTGTTAGTCGTGTAGCAGCCTCGCACTAACGCCAAAACAAATTCTGTACTAAATCAAATCATAGATGCTATTATTATTTATGCTCACATTTTACTTGGGAAAGAAGAAAGTTACAATGAAATTTGGTGGTATTAGGAAGTTGCAGTCTGCAATACAGTCTGCCATGGCTCTGTAAGTTTTCCTTCAATAAATATCAAGAATCAAGAATCTCTCAGTTCTTTTAACTTGCATATCAAGTTGTACATGTCACGGAAGTTCCTCATCAGAATGTGACTGAAGGCTCAACAGTAATTTGACCAATGGCAGAACAATATTTATTATGTTATATTGGTTATGCTCTTAATGTGACTAATTAAAATGAGGAAACCACCCTGTTTGGAATAGTTCTGGTAGAAAAGTGTTACTGCTTAATTCCTACTCAGAATATTGAGTTATGTAGAGTCCAGAGTCCATCATCTTTTGGGGTTAGCTAACATTTCCTACCTGTGACTAAATCAGCAGTTGTTTATTTGATGCTTAATGTTTGCTGACAAATCTATTGTCCCATATGTGTGTAGGTGTTTCCTTATACATGCATGTATACATGTATACATAAATACCATCCATACACTTCTTCAAGAATTTACCTTAAAAACCCAG